TTTTCTTAAAAAGTTGGGTTGGGCTCAGCCTCACGAATGCCCCATGAAGCAAGAAGTGTGAAAGAAAACGGATCAGGAGGCTGTGCCTTTTTGACCTTTCTGAAATGTGTTCAGCTAAGCACAGAGTAGGATATAGGACAAACATTTGATGAAAGAATCGCTCAGCACTGCATGTAACTGACTGAACAGGTGGAATCGTTAGGCTGGATCAGATCCCAGAAGGTTTTTATGATCATTCTTTTAAAATGTGGCCATGTTCTTTCTGAGCAGAGTTGACTCAGTGGCTTCCAGGAACAGGAGTGTAATGTCGTTTCAGAGTGCCTACCAGCAGATCTTCCTTCGAGACATATGATGCCATGCACTAACTTTGGGTGCTCGTACAGTTTGTTGTAGCTAAACAAGTTGTCCAGTTCTATTTTGTTTTCTTCTTAGTAGAAAATGCGCATGCAACATGTACCAACCCCCTGCTCCACACCCCTCCCCTGCTTTTTGTCCCTGCAGAAGGTTTAGGGGTGATGATTGCTCCGGGGCGCTCCGTCTCAGTGGTAATAAAGCTGGCTTCGGAAACTCACAAAATGAACTTAATTCTTTCCTCCGCTTTTACCTATTATGGCAGAATTCTTAATTTCTTCCCATCCAGAAATTTTCTTCCTGAAACTAATGTTGCTTTCTGGTTGTGAAAATCTTGCACAAGTTACTGGATTGAGGAGTGCAAAGAGGAACAGAATGAAGGAAAATATATACTCAGTGGATTGGATGAGATAAAGGGTTGTCACTGAAATGTCAGAGCCCGTGTGAGAGAAATAGAAGAAAAAAACTTAGTGGCTCACCTAGGTAAGCTCATGCAAGGGTTTTGCATTGCAATTACTACTGCCAGGTTTCATCCAGAAAGTAGGGAAGAATGGATTTGTGGTAAAACAACGGATTGGGACTCACATCTCCTGAGTTTTATTTTCTGACTGTCCGAGGTTCGGTTCTGACCTTGGCACAGTGTTCATATCTGCAGGTCTCGCTTTTCCTCATCTGTAAAATATGGGTAATGGTGCTCCTCTGGGTACTCCTCTGGGTACTCCTCTACTTCGAAGTGGTCATAAGAGAAACAATATTTGGATGTACATCAGGTCCTTATATTAAGTAGCAATAGATATTAGAAAAGGGCCTGGACAGACAGCAAAGTCTTTAAAAGTTCTTGGGGAAAGGGACTTTTTATACAATGCCCGAAGTGCAGGCACCTAGAGATGTTCGTGGCAACCCATTTTATTCTCTGACTTGCTTTGATTCTCTGTTTGACTACAGTTTACAGGGGCTGAGGGATCCCTGAAAACTGAGTTGCAGCAGTGAAAATCGCTAGAGAGGGTCAGCAAGAACTTCCGAGTGCAAAACCATCATGGGTGCCGGATTATTTATATCAGCACTCCGAAACCTGAAAAGGAAATTTTAAGGCTTTGTGAAAATTATGACTAATTCTTTGCAATGACTGTGGTGCTGTACAGGAATGAAATGGGTGGTTGGGGGAAGGGAGCAGGTTTGCATTCTGTAGGGCTATGAAAACAGTTTCCTTGCATCCTTCTCCTCAGCTCAGTCCTTGCTCAGTACCCTCTGCGGTTAGATTATTCCTTGCAGATAGCAATCAACTGGAAGGAAGTGTGTGTCTAATTTGCATGAGATTATTTAAAACAAAAAAAAAGGTCTGCATTAGTCAGGGTGATGGTAAACAACGCAAAGAGATGCCTTTTATAATATAGCCGTGGCTCAGCTTTCAAAGCCAAATATAATTCACTTACAATTGGCAGTTTCCTTTATTGTTCCTTTTAACCTTTTGCATTCTGCATGGTCTTGATCTTGCTGCAACTCCAGAAGAACGAAAATGTTTGTTTCCCAGATTGTTGAGAAGGTGGATTTAGAGCAATTCTTCTGTTTATCTGAGGTGATTTTCTTGACATACCTACTCGAGAGTTATATTAGACACAAAGCTCCTGGTTTTATGACACAGCTTTTGCACGCAGTGGAAGTGGTACCATTTTGGGGTTACCAGCTTCCTGCCAGATTAGAACAGTGAAGGGACCATGGATACTTTTTTATGTAACGCAGTGATGTGAGGACTGTGATAAAGTGAAGCAAGGTGAGATGTTGGAAGGTGATACTTTGATCTGGTTTGGAAATTCTCACTTTTCTTGTAATTAATATAGTGATGTTGAATAATTGGAGGCATGGAAAACTCATACCGTGTGCATACATGTGTGGTGAATCTGAAAAACATACAGTCCAAAGGGAATTTTGATGAGTTAGCTATAATTGTCTGAAGACAGTCTTAGAATGTCTTGCACATTTTTTTAGTGTGTGTGGGAAATGACAACCACGAAGATGGGTGTATTTCTGCATCCACAGACGCCTGGTTGCAGCGCAGACTTACTCAATATATAAGCTTCAGGAATCAGCTCTGGGAGATTATTCCCTTGATGCCTGGAGGTCAGGATGACAGGGCCTTCAAAACATCTTGTTCAGGTGAATAAAAAGGTGTTCCAAGGTGGTGGCACTCCCAGGCTCCTCTGATAATTCGGAAGGGATGTAGTTGTGATGTTCTTCTGTATAATGCCGCTAGTACCATGAACGAGACCATTTCACAAAGTGGCAGAATACTCCAGGAAAGGAATAAGAATTTTAATTGTCACCACTTTGCACAGGATTCAAACCAGAAACTCAAATGTGAAAGGTTTCCCACCATTCTATCATTCACATCAGCTTTTTCTTCACAATACAGCAAGGTTTCAATGGAAACTGTGATACTTGAATGTCCCTAGTTGACCAGACAAGAATAATCCTTGAAATGCATTTTATCTGCAAAAGATTCCAGGTTTTTTCTCAAACAGGATGAGAACAGGAGAGGCAGTATGTTTCTAATTGTTCAATATTATCAGATATGCTATCTTCGCATGGGAATAGAATAAAATGCCTCTTCTAGTGGGAGCCACATTTGCAGCCAGCAGCTAGCGTATTCGTCTTTATGAAATTCCATAGTTGCTAGTGATCTACAATGTTGACATCTGTTTATTCTTTCTCCTCCATTGGATAATTAGGAGCTGGTTAAAACTGTTTCTTTCTGATCAGGACTTCGCTTTTTGACATGAATTAGACACTATAAGTATTGCTTTTCTGACTAGAACGGTAGGTTGCGTTGTGTTCATGTATCTTTTATTACTCTCGCTCCAAGTCTTGTTCCATACGGTTATGTGGGGATTTGGTTCCTTACTACCTGAGGCTGGTATCAGATACAAGTAACAAGGAACAGAGATCGAGAATTTCACATTTCTAATACAGTTTCTGACACTGACAATATTCTGTTATGTTAAAGAAATCACCTGACCTCTCTGTGCATCAGTAACTGCACTGTAGATTAGATAGAATAGCGTCTCACCGGAGCTCACAGAATCTCACATACTCACAGGAATAGAGAAAAGATCTGTTAATGGTTATAAAGCTTTCCGAATACCAGCAGCACTGTGTTAGTGCTTTTTGATATTGAGTAACAGTTCTGAGACAGGCTTGTGTGTTTGTTTCTGGCAGTACTGTTTGTGCTACAGATTATTCTGTCTAGACCCCCAGCATGTAGTGAAGTTTAAGATCCTGAAAAAAATTCTCAAAACTTAGGTAATGTGCCCAGAAGAGTGGCTATTTTCTATATTGTGTCTCCATTTAATGTTAAAAAGGTAAGTGTTTTGAAGGGTGAAGTTCAGGAGTTTCATCTACCAGCAATACTTCATGGAGTTTGACTGGAGGAGATAAAGTATTCCTTGGTTTTTTTCTCTGTCATATTCACACCATTTTCTTCACTGTGCACAGTCCCTACAAAACAGAGAATGACGTGTTCTGTCTCTTCTCTTCCAAATCTCTTTCCTTAGATCTCAGTTTCGACCTCTCTGAATGTTTTTGCATACACGCCGTATGTGTAGTAAAAGATCCTGAATCCCTTCACGTGTTTCTCATAGCAGAGACACTGGGTTTCTGTCGGCTTCTGTGCAGGAGAGAAACATAACAAATAATACACAGCTGTCCAACCCCACATCACGGTTGCCATTCTTTTTCTAGAGGATGTTTTCTCTTGTTGGAAAAAATAATCCAGCTGTGCTTCCTTCTGCACAGATGTTGGTCATCGTGAATCCTTTAGCTGCATTTCTCTTCCCCCTTGTTGGCCAAATCCTTTCCGTATGTTGTGGCCAGTTACAGATGATCATCCTGGCATTTCCTGATGGCAGGAGTGACTGCACCAACGTGTACCATGTGTGCAGTGTTACTACAGCTCTGTGGGAAATAAAACCCAGGCTGCCCTCGGGCAATCTAATCATGCAGCAATAGGCTGGGGCAACACTAAGCTGAAAGTTTGGGCTTGGCCTTGTTTTGATCTGTTTTGTTATAGTTTTATTTCCTCCTTACATTCTGTGTCCCATTCATACTAATCACAGTCAGTCCTGATTTTTTCTTTTTATTTCTGCATTTGTCATAAAATAAAGCAAATTATTCCCGTCTTCGGAAACGATCTAGACTAATTAGTCGTCTAACCCAATAATTAGTTTTTTGTTTCCCTGTCTGTTTTCATGCATTATTGTTAGTTTTTTCCCCTCTTTTTTTTTTTTACACCATTACAGATTAAAATGAGCCACATTTGCAGTTGATGGTATCTTTTTTTCGGGGGAAGAATGGAGAATTGCAATAGAAAGCTACTTCAAAAGCAGCAATAAACTCAAGGATAAATTAAGGAAATTGAATGAGCCACATTTGGAAGCAGCGTTGAGGCTAATATTCTGTCGCTTAAGGTTAAATTGCAACAGAGAAAGAGAGAGGGAGACATTCCAGTGAATCCAAAATTGGGGAGGCATTACTGCTCAAGTCAGTGCCAAAATTCTTTGCAGCTTGAAAGGGTTCTGCCTGGCTTGAGAATTTAATTATGCGTGCATCAAGTGGGTAAAGGTGCTAAACTGATTTCATTTCCTCTGCTCCCCCAGGCCTGACAGATGAAGAAGTTGACCTGGCTTTCCAGCAGTCGGGCACCAGCACGGATGAGCCACAGCCTCCCAGTCCTTCGACACAGCTGCTGCCAACTCAGCCCTCTCACCCTGTGGTGCATAGTAAGTAACGCTTTGAGAAACATCTGGTCCTGTTGCTTTCAGCAGTGATTTCGGCAGCAATTTCACAGATTTCTCGGCGTGATCCCAGATTTCAGTTCATCTAGTGCCGTACTCTTCATCAAAATCGGACACCAAGTCTTGCTTGGAATGCACTTCAGAGTTGTTCATGGCAGTGACAAGATCATGTTACACAAGGAAAACGAGATACAAATGATCAGTGTCTACAAACATCGTACAGACTAGCCTATGACACCTCTTGACCTGAAAGGTGTATAGTCAATATAAATTAGATTCTGATCCACTCTAAGGACTTCAAAAAAGCATTTAGTCAATGCATGACTCAGTCTTTCCTTCTAAAATTTAAGATCATGCTTCCCTTCATCAGTAGAGTTTTCTAATATTTAAATCATTAAACTGTTACAGAGCTGATAGATTCTTGGACAGAAGATGCTGTGGAAAGTGCAACACTACTACATCTTTAGTTATTGCAGCAGTGATCTCTGTTCAGTGAACTGTGGGACGTCATCACAAAGTTTTGCATTTTAGATAGAGGATTTATTTTCTTAACTAGTCAGGCAACCCATCAGTTCCTAGAATCATAGAATATCCTGAACTGGAAGGGACACATAAGATGACACATAAGGAGGCCAACTCGCTGCTCCTCACAGGGCTACCTAAAACTAAACCACATGACTCAGAGCATCATCCAGATGCCCCTTGAACTCTGACAGTTCATGCCTTGAACACTTACTTGAAAGAAGCGTATTGTCAGCATGAAGAGCAAGCTGGCATACGAGGTCTTCAGGGCTTACTCTGTGACTTCCCCTGTGTGTGTCCCAGTATGAGTGAGTTTTAAGAGTGCTGTCAGGTTACAAATAATAATAAATAGTTAATATAGATCCTTAATTTCAACAAGCTTTCTCTCTTCAATCGTAGATAATCTGAGGAGTGACAGCAGAAATTCTGCGTAGACTATGTGGATGTGAATGTAGAGTTTTGTGTACAAAATACACTCTCAAAGAATTTCTGAAGTCCCAATATAATCTCTGTAGACTCAAAATTTACATATATATTTGCATTTTAAAACAAACCTCGCAAAAAAGTATCTAAGCTCCAAACAATAAAAACCAAAGTACACACCATTAAAAATCCATCAAAAGAAGCTGTTCAGCTCACATGTGTGTCTGGCAGTTTGAAAATCACTACACTTACCTGCCAAGTATCAAGAATAGGATTTTGATACTGCTTCTGAACAGCTCTAGGTCAGATATCGACCAGTGCAACAGTCCACTTAGGGCCGTATTTATTAGTTCATGGCATAGGTTTGCTATTGCTAGAGATGATGCTAGACTTGCTTTCTTAAATACTTTGGTTTGAGAAGAAATACATTTATGATGGAGTTGGGTTCAGAGCTGGCATATGCCTGACTGTTGTATTGGGTGTGCTCGTGAGCTCTAGGACTGAATTCTGCTGACTGGGCTAGCAGGGAAGATCATTATTGTTAACCCTTCCAGCTTTAACACTGGTTATTTTTTCCCTTTTCCTATTTGGCTTTCCTCAAAGCACCAGCTCCCAAATTCTTCTAACTGGGTAATAATCTTTACTAATATTTAAACATCAAATGTTCCAAATCACAGCTCCAAAAAGAAGTCTGAAAGTATCATTCTGCAATGCTCAGAAACCAAAAGTGAATAAAAATACTACCAAAACAAAGCTTTCGTAGGAGTTATAATTGTAAACTGGTGCTCTAGCTTTGTGATCTGATTGGTACTTTTTAAATAATTCAAACTAAAAGCTTTTGCCTGTGAGCTAGTCCTTTGTAGCAACCCCCAAAATCAGAGAAATGGTGACAATAGCAATTGTTCCTCCCCTCTCTATTGTACACCTTCTTTGTACACCTTCTGTTGAAGCTTAACCTCTAAACTGATATATAAAAAGAATAAATAGCTAACTAGACATGGCATTCGTTTGACCAAAATGTTTGTTTTGTTTACGTGTTTTCTGTGCCCTATTGTAGTCCTTGACTGGTGTAGTACTGGTGGTGTTAGTGACGGATCCATCTTGGTGTTTTCCTGTTAAGTGCTTTGCATGGTATCAGGACTGCAAAAAGAATACGTGCCTTTCTCTAGAGCTAATGGACAAGGCTGTGCCATGGCTCAGTGCTCTTCAAGGTGCCTTATTTGCTGTAGGTTATTTCCTCAGTTAGACACTAATCCTATAGTGAGCATTTCTGAATTGGTCCAAATCTGCTCCGGGACAGTTTTTTCTGTGACGGTTTACAAAGTCTGTTTGTCTTTCACAGATTTGTCAATGGTTGTCATGTACAGAAAAAGATAGATACTAGTTTTTCTATCTGTTACCCTTGTCTTCTTACAGAGTATTCATGACACTAGTGTTGGAATCCCTCAGGGTTGAAGTTATGTAAAGGACTAGTGAGAGAGACTGTAGAACCTGTAAGTTGACTCCTTGACAGGAACAACTCATACTGGAAGAGCTTGTTTTGAAAATGATTGTGAGCTACATCTGCCTTCCTCAAAGAGCACCTCTGAGCTTCTTGTGAGCAGCATCGGATCTGCCAGAGTTAGAGCCTGAAGACTGTGAACCACTTTGCATTTGATATTTTTGGGTCTTTTTAAGTTGTTTTGGGGGTTTTTTTGAGTAGTTTTGACATCTCTACATGAAATCACAAAACTAGAGATGAAGAATTACTCCCCAGAGAGCAAAAAGGACAAACAGTTGAGGAGGGCACTGTGCTGCAAAGCAGTGGCTAGTGTCCTGAGAAACCTCCTTTCTCTTTGTCCCCCTTCTCCACAAGTTGTTGCTGCTTCATGTTTATAAGTTACATTAAAACTATGGGTTACAAGTATGGAGGTTCAGGATGCCTTCAGAACCATCTCAAGTTTTTTTTGGAATGGAGCAAACAGCTGAGTTGATGTTCTTGCCAGCCACTCCGGCGTGAGATGTCCACTCTTGTGAGGCAGAGCAATAAATCCGGTACACACCTTCTGATTCGACTTGCTTGATCTCCTGCAGTTGTCAACTCAGTTCTGATTTTTAATATTGCAGGCAGTAATGCATACCACTTCAGTACCTCCTTTTGTACCAAGTGAACTGCTAGGGTAGCTATTAATGGTTTGTGGGAAATAGCTGCTACCTGTGTAAGCACTTTCATTTTCTTGAAGAGTTAATGGGCAAGAAATGTATTTGTAAGCCTTCAGAGTAGCATAGTTCTTGTACGCCGCACTCCTCCTGGGTTTGTTTTAAGAGAAATAATAACTTTTGGAAGGAAGAGACAAGAATTAAGTTTCTAGACACAGTGTTTTAGCTCAACACCATCTTTGCTGTTTCTGCTCCTGTTCTGGAGGAGTAATTCCTTCCCTCCAGTTTGTACTTTTGCCAAGAGGTGTCAAAACTGGTTTAAAAAAAAGCTTAAAAAAAGCTTGAATTTGATTAATATAGAGAAACAAGACTTTGCCTGACTGATAATAAAACTGATAAATGACATTTGAATTACTTGTAGCAGTAATTTATTACATAAAATATCTTTTATTTGACATGCGATTAGTTGCTAGAAGCATCACTCAATCTGACTAGTTTAAACATGCTCTAAAATGAACCCCCAGTAAAAAACCAGGGCTGTCTGCTGTTGGCGTTAAGAAATATACTAATCCAGCGGTGAGGACAAAAATCTGACTTTAAATATTTAAATGATTAATTGGGTTTATATTTTTTTTTTTAACCTTTCTAGCCCCTATAATTACAAGCAAACTCAGGGGAGTTTCTGAGCAAGGTGTGCAAAGCTGCACGCTTATCACCCAGGTATTGTCTGTTCTTCCCCATGGTACTTATGGTCTCTGTTTATGGGGTTTTGTGCAGATTTTACACCTGCTTAAATATCAGCTCCAGTGACTGTTTTTCTTGCCATTTGGATCTTCTTCTCCCACCCCTGTGTCTTCATTATGTGGGAGGCTGTCGAATATAGACTGTTTTCTCTTACAATTAAAAATGGTAACTAGAATCCAAACATTTTTTCTCCCCAGCTCCTTCCCATGGGTTCACTCTTTGCACTTGGAAAATTACCTCTTCCACTCTCAGTTTCTACAGTTTTCAGCATGGATACTAGTGAGGCTGACCTTACTTGGGTGCACAAAGCCTAATTAATTGATGGCACGAAAGTTAATTTCTAAGATGAATGAGGATCTTAAAAACAGTATTTACTCTGGAAGTGCAGTTTACAGTTGCTGCTGTGAAAATTAAATACACTTACAGAAAACACAGACTTACAGCTGGAGAAAATCTCTGTGACCCTTCTGTTTGCCTTTTGAGGGTCTCCCGTGCAGAACAGGTTGTTACTTCCCTAGTGCCTAAACAGAAGAGTAACTGAGCTATTAGTGCTTTTTCACTTTTGCTGAATTTTATTGCAGTTTTACAAGATGGTAGATTGAGAATATGCAAAGAAGTCAGTGTGAGCACGGAGGTTACAACTGGGAGACTTCTAACCCTCTGCAGCCCACGTTTTAGATTAGAGTGTTGCAGAGGAAAAGGAGGGTTGAATGTGGATTTTAGGCAGAGCCGTGACATTTTTCGTAACGTTGTAAAGTTGACGTGGTCAATGCAGAGCCTTTACTGCGTCCCTCACTCACTCACTTTTCCTCTCCACCCCCTTCGCTTTTTTTTTCCACAAGACAGAATTATTTCACACATCTCTAAAACGAGTAAAATGGCATTTCAGCTTCTTGTCTTTATAGACTCTCTGAACTTTAGGAAAGATCATTCTGGTCCCTTTTCATTAATAATGAAAACCAGGGGGCAATAAAATGATCTTAGCTCGAGCATTACAGGGATGGCGGGAGAGATGAGTGAGGTGAAGGGGCAAAGCAGACGGGGTCCTACAGGTGTCCTCGCTTCTGCTCAGAGGTCACCGCAGCTGGGAGGTCGCAGCTGGGAGGTCGTCAGGCAGAGCCAACAAGAAGCCAGGAAGTCAACAAGAAGCCAGGAAGTGCGGTGGATGGGACACAGCGGGACCCACTGCCCCTCGGAGATGCCTTAACCCTTTGCAATAGGCAGTTTGGCCTGGATAGGGTTGCGTTGTCACAGAAGGATACTTTTAGTCCGAAGTTCAGGGCAGAGAACTGGACAACCAAGAGACTTCAGGTGCCAGAAATGTCAGTGGGAGCAGAGTGACGAGGGGAAAGTGGGATGGGGGACTGGGGTTTGCAGCAAGATTAGCCAGAGATCATTTTAAATCCTGACATGTACACAGCCAGTTACTGCAGCTTAGCTGACGTGTGTTAACTCATTAAGTTAAAAAGTTATGATAATTTCATCATGTGCCTAAGCTCCAAAACTGCAACTGCAGCAACCCAAAATACTGCTGGTGACACTTTTCGCCAATTCTGACAGAGCTGCTTTAATTTGTTTGGGTTTCTAGCCAGTAGATAATTTGAGGATCTGTGTCCTAAAAGGTAGCAAGAAGCTCTGAGTGCCAGAATTTGAGAGTCATTGCCTGTCTGTAGAGCCTGAGGGCTGGCATTAGGAGTAACCCTTGCAATGAAATGCCTGCAGAAAATCTCAGCAACAGGAAAAACGGCGATAGGTGAGCAAAGCAGAAAGGAGACAAGTTTCCAGCCATTTTAGACAGTCAAGCTTCCCTTCGAATGCCTAAATTGAAATTTTGGAGAATGTATTTCCGAGACATTGTGGGGCACATGTAGATTTGAATCTGTCTGTTGGGAGACTGTACACCGGCCTCCACCTCATCAGTTCTGCCCACATCCTGCCACTGAACTTTAGGAAAGATTGCACCACATCCTCTTTATTATTGAAGAAAACCGGGGGCAGTGCAAGATTCGTTAAGGAAACTGCGAGGGAGGTGAAAGGATAAAGCTGGTGGAAAACTACAGGTATCTTCTGATTCTGCTTGAAGGAGCAGAGCATACCATAGCTTTGCTTTCCTCTGTGGAGTCTATAAGCTCCTGTGCAGAATTGTGTGTTAAATATCTCAAGCTTTATCTACTTCTTTACCTCTCTCTGTAGATACTTAATTGCCTATTTTTTCTCTGCTATTTATGTGTGCTTTGGTCCCTATTCGTAACTCAGGCTTGAAAGACACTGGATCCTTCCATATTGAAATGGTCTTTAATTGCTGACACGGTGTTCATAAACCCCTGATAGATTTCTCTCCTTTCTCAAAACACTTGCTTCTTTCTTTTTTTCTGTGCTCTTCTGGGTCTCTGACTCTGTCCCCATTCTCAAAAATTATGATAGTGGAGAACAATTGGTATTCAAGTAATGAGTTAACCTTAGCTGGTACTAACACCACAGACAGTTATCTGGGGAAAGTGCAGTAGGGTTCCGAGTACCTTCTGCAAGGAAAGAGCAGGGCAAAACAGCTCGATGGAACTTTTTTAATTGCTGCTGTGATTTGTCTCCCTTTGACACTTTGTGCAAGGCCAGTGTCAGCGCTAGAGGTCCGGACAGTTGTTTCCCTGTCCTAGGGCCAGAAGCCTGCACGCTCTACCTGAGGGGCTACCAGCGCCTTCATGCCCCCTGCTCAGTAAATCTGTGCCTGCTGAGAAACAGCAGAACTGGCGTTTACTCATTGCTGTTTTCTCTGATAAAGTGAGTGTATAAAACTGTTCTCACCTGCAGTTCCGACTATGATTATTTCTTGATTTTGGCTTTTAGGTCCACCGGGCTCCAGATGGCGAGATTACGGCGCTTTGGCTATCATAATGGCGGGAATTGCCTTTGGATTCCACCAGCTCTACAAGGTAATCTCCCTCACTCCTCTTATACTGTGCTCTGAGAGAAGGTGTTATACCGTGTGATCACGTTGGTTCCGAGATGGGGAAGGATCCCTGTTCTTGCTGGCACTGCCAGTGGTACGTTTGAGAAATGTAGACGCTTAACATGAGAAAGCGGAGTCAAAATGTGGCAAGCAAACAAAATGTGGATCTCAAACTTCAAGAAACAAGGTCATTTTCACTGTGTATATGTATTTAGGATTCTTTTAAGTTGGAGAAACGGAGGACAGTTCAGTAAAGGGATTCTCCTAGCATTGGCCAGTTGACATTATTGTCATAGCCCCAGTCTAATGATTTGCCCAGTGGTGATCCTGCACCATGGATAGGAAAGAATCTTCTTTGACCAATCAGAATGTTGGAAGTCCATCCTCTGCGAGGGCCAGTTGAGGTAGATGTTGTGGCTGTGTACCATGTCACTGAATTTATAATACCTCTTTCCCCCAGAGTGGATTTAGACTGGACACTAGGAAAATTTTTTCACAGAAAGAGTGGTCAGACATGGGAACAGGCTACCCAGGGAGGTGGTTGAGTCCCCATCCCTGGGGGTGTTTAAAGGTCCTTTAGATGTGGGGGATATGGTTTAGGGGTGAGCTTTGCAGCATAGGGTTAGTGGTTGGACTTGATGATTCCAAAGGTCTTTTCCAGCCTGTGCTTCCCTGGCTTGTGCTTCCTCTGGCCTTTCTTGGGCCCTTCTCCTCCTCCTCTTCCCACTTTCGCATTTCTTGCCTTGGGGATCTAGCTCAGATGTTGCAACGTAGCAGTGTGTCCCCATTCGAGAGCATAACGTCTGAACTTGTGCTCTGTATATCATGGATGTTTCTCTGGGCTGAGAGCTGGCCCAGGAAACCTTAAATAGAGTTAGGAGCTCGTTTATAGCACCCTCAAAAATGTTACCACAGAGTTCATATCTTCTCTTCTGCACCTTCTTTTAACACCTACTGTAGAGGGAATCCCTTTTTTCATCCGGATATGTGGATAAATGATCACTGGCTTTGTGGTAATGGCTGAGGTTTGGGTGGTGGGTTTTGAGGATGTTTCAGGTAGATTAGAAAGACCACTTTGCCTTTCCTAAAAAAATATATGTACTCTGTGCAGAAATACCTACTTCCTCTCATCATGGGAGGGAAAGAAGACAGGAAACAACTTCAGAGAATTGAGTCAAACATTTCTGAGATGAGTGGCAGCGTGACACAGACAGGTAAAGATTAATGACTCCATCAGCTCACCCCTCAAAGCTTTCTCCCTGTATCCTCCATTCTGCCAAGACTCCCACCCTTTTCTTTCCCTCCATCTCCACTTTATGTGGTGACTTCATTTATCTGCTCTGAGAATCTGTTCACATTTGCAAATGAAGCCGCCGTCATTTCGGTTTAATTTGAAATTGCTTGTTTACTGTCGGCGCGGCCTCAATTAATTATGTTTTTACGGAAAGGCTCCCAACCTCAGAATATTAATAAGGGGAATAAAATGACAGCCTTTCGGAGGGCTGTAAAGTTCATTTTTAATTTCTGCTTCTCTGATGTTTTCAGGGGCTTTTTTTTGGTGTTTTCCCCCCACCTTCCATCTGAAAATCCGATGAAGGGTCAGGGGAGTCTGTAATTACTGTGCCTCCCTGACCTTAGCCACCTTCTCTGTTATTGACTCTATAGGGTGTCTGTTCATTACCTGGTGCCCTAATGATGGTCTGGATTAGCTGTTACCTGTCACACCAATAGAGTTTTTAATTTTATTTTATCAGCTTGTTTACTCTCTGGAAGCTTTGGATAAAGTACCAAAGTAGAAAAGTTCTCCTACAGCTGGAGTCCAGCAGAAGTTCTTCAGTGTCTGCTGGGGTGTAGGAGGGAAATACAGGGTGTTCTCTTCAAATAAAAGGGAAAAAGTGCAAAGTATATTCAGCTGGTGGGATGGCAAAAAGTATGATTTTCAGCAGTAAGTTTGTTAAAGATATTGGGGTTGACGGAGCTGGTGGGTTGAGAGTAGGAGGATGCTAATTACGTTTTTTAATGGAGGGTGAGAAGAAAAGCATCTGTCATTTCTCATGATACCGTAAGGTCAATCCTGAGACCAGCCTCTTCCCAGACTGGAGATAGCCCCAGTGTTTGCCTGCCTGAGGCCCAAGGTAGATAAATGATACAGACATTGTATAGGTTCAGGGAGATGTACAAATCATAAACCAATATAATTAGAAGGGAGAGGTTTTGGACGGATATACTGTGGGCTATAGACACCTATACAATGGGAAGATAAACTAGAAATACTGGAGGTTAGATGCAGTGCAGGTAGATTACCCGTAGTGCAGATAAATCACATGGATTAAAGTGAGCAGGCGGGCGTAGATAAATTAAATATAGTAGAAATAGAGGCATCTTTGTAGCTAGACAGCAGGAAGGACGTGTGTGAGCGTGTACATGTATCTCCGTTTAACACTCTCCTGCTTTTTTCCCCACAGTGACTCAATTACAGACAACTTTAGCAGCTGTCCAAGAACTGCTAATCCAGCAACAACAGAAAATCCAGGAGCTCACCCAAGAGCTGGCTGCTTCTAAGGTATCTACTTCCAACTCTTCATTTTTCAGAACATCACCACCTTCTTTGGAACACGCATGGCTTCCTTTGTGGGCACGTGGGAAGCACCTTATTAGGTTCACAGTCTAGCCTTCAGCTCTGTCATATTGCCAGCCAGTTTCTCTGCATCTGACTTCTCCATAGGGGATCTGTTTAAAGCACTGGATATTAGTTGGGTACTTAATGATATATATCTAACATCTGAGAAGGCTTTGCTCTATAGCTTCGCATGCTATATGCCTGTGTGACTGAGGCCTCAGACCTCAGCTTTGTATCTTCTGCAGTGCATTTGAGATGAAATAATTGTGCTGTCAGTCCCTTGACCAAAAGAGGTAAAGGCCAGCTGTGCAGAAGTTTTATCTGTGTGTAATGTGTAAATTTTAGAGGTTTGTGTTTCTCCTGTACACTTATACATTGTCAAAACAATGACTTGATCTTGTTCAGCCAAGCACACGCTTGAAGTGCTGTATTTAAGTCACTTGTTCAGACCCAGGCCAGGTAATGGCTGAACATTCTTACTGCTTGATTTCTTGTTTCAATGATCTTGGTCATCTCAGTGTAACAGGTGGCCCCATGACAACCGCGTGAGTGATGCACAGTGGTGCTTTCCCCTTGACTCCTGACTTGACCCTGGCAAGAAAACCATCAGTTCTGGCTAGTTTGTATTGTTACATATATAACACAAACTGCTACTTTTAACCAAAATTGGTTTTCTTTCTGGCAATGAGAATCAGTGCTCTTCTCTCCAAAGTACTTTGCAGCCGTTGGCCTAAGCATGCTATCAGCTGGCCCGTGTTGGTTACATGTGAGGTGGGATGGATCCGAACCAGTCACAGAGACATGAAGCCTTCCTTTCACTCCCAAGCTTGTGCTTATTCAGGGCCCAGTCCTCTTTCAGAATTCTCTGTACAGGCAAAGGTTTTTTTTTTTCCCTGTGAAATCCCTTAGACAGTGCTTCTAGTCTTTTACCTATAGTACAAACAGTTGTCTTCTCCCCTTACCTGTACTTTAATCTTGTACAAAGCCTTTGGTGGTGTGTAGGTGGTGGGCCACAGCTGACTCTGTGCTGTGCACGCTGTACAGTAGGAATCCCTCAGTGGCACAGCTGTAAACCCAACCATGAAAGCCAGTTTATGGTCACAACAGTCTGCTTCAATTTTCCTTGGGAACTGTGGCCTGTCAGTGGCCTGGAGCCAGTCCGGAAATTGGAAAACTGTTTTCAGGTCTTAAGTGTTAAGATTAAGACCACATGTTGAGCTTTAAGAAGGAAAAAGGGCATAAGAGTCTTGGTGGTTTAGAGAGTCTTGACGAAGTTTTTCCTCCCCCTTCTCTGCCCCCTGCACTGAAATGGTAGCACACATTGTTATGATATCTAAACCTCATGTGTACAAAGAAAAACTTGGGCAACCCCACAAACCAAAGAATAAAAGCTGTGTTTTCTCAGCTGTAATGTAAGTTTTTATATCTGCTTTTCAAACTCCTACTGGCATGCTGTAAAAAATTAAAAAGAGGGACTTTAAGTAATTAAAAAACGTACATAAAAATTCAAGGCTTGAATTTTCTACAACTGTTTTTTAAAGAGACTTGCTAAAAAGCCCCAGATGTCAGATTTTATTTCTAAATCCTAGGCATCTGGCACCATATGTGTTTTGGAAATTTGAGTCCTTTGCAGGCCAGTGGGTGGAAATCACTCCCTTGTTAATGTGCTGCTGTAGCTTTCAAGGTCTTGGAAAGCCAGAACAGTGGCTCCTGGATTCTTGCTGTCTGAGGGCTGGGAGTGTGAATCCCAAGGGAACGCATCTGTGTATATCGCAGCTACTACAGACTGAGCCTCTCCCAGCTCACTGGGTTCACAGCCCAGAAGTCGCTGTGAGAAGTGCTGGCTGTGAAGGTGCTCCGGGTTACTCAGCATTAGCTGAAGTCTGTTTAAAGAATAAGTAGGAACAACCACGTCTGGCTACATCAAGTAGGAACTGCTGTGGAGGAGTTTTGTGTTATTCCAGTCCTGACTTCAATTGTCAAGGAATTTATTAGGAGTATCTCTGGAGTGATGCTCAAAAATGGGTTCATTCCTAATGGCTTTTAGCAGAAATGACTGTGGGAAGCGCTAGATAGGAGTGTTCTTCAGTCCCATACTCAGCCCATTGCTACAGAAATTGCTGGAGTGATAGGATGGGGTTACCATAGGCCATGACGTGTCTTTCGGGATGTTCCTCCCATTTCTCAAGTTCCCAAAGGGTTGAAGGAAAGATTGCCAAAAGTATTATCTGCAGCATGTTCTCCTCAGCTGATACTTCACTCTAATTTCTGCCTGATATCCCATATCAATTCTGATGCAGTGCTGACAGCAGCTGTTCCATGCTTCCGTGAGTTATTCTCTTTCCCCACCAAACTGCACTCATTGCCTCGAAATAGCCAAGAGATGGTGCCTAGTCCAGCTGGATCCTGGAGGCGCAGTCTGGTAACTCAAGCATAACTCTAATTCTTCAGATCTAGCAAGGAAAATCTTTGCAACTTTGAAGCACTAATTGATCAGCCCACCTCTAAATACCGCAGAGTGCCAGATAATTGATTCTTTATTTCATGATTTAGGAGAAATAAACAAATGGTTTTAAAATAGTTTTTAATGTGTAATATTTGAATCTGTTGCCTCAGCTAAGGGCAGTCATAGGAGAGAGTAAAGGACCTGTTTCAGTGTAACTCCTGCTGTCTCACTGTATCCTAGTTCTAGTTCTTCTTCTCTTGAAATCATTCATTAAGTCAGTGTCAGATGATTTAGTTTGTCTCTTTGTGTATTGTTCTCTGTCTGGTATGCTGGTGGAAAACATCCTATATAGACCTAGCTTTGCCTGAATTCTCACCTGGCCTCCTCCTAATCGAAAAAGAAAGATCCACTTGAGATGTTTCAGCAGTGGTTGTGCTTGATATGTTGGAGCCAAGTTTAATTAGTCTCCCAAACAGAAAGCAAATATTTGAATACTCTTAGCACCTTGAGACAATTATTATTTCTGATCATCGTGGGGATCCATTCAGATCCTTCTTTATTGTGGGGACCCTTCTTTATCCAGATGGAAGGAGAGGGAGGATAACATAGAAAAAAACTGACAGTTGGGAACTATCTCCAAGTTCATACTTTGATCTTCATATCTTCTTTTTCATCTTCTAGGCCACAACTTCCACCAACTGGATTCTGGAGTCACAGAATATTAATGAATTGAAATCTGAGATCTACTCGTTAAAAGGACTTCTCCTGAACCGGTATGGATGGAACATGTGAACAGATTATTGTGCGGGGAAAACCTTGCTTTCTGGGATTCTCTCCATCATGGAGAGGAAAGGCATTTACTTAATGACACCTTTTCAGTAATGGGAAATTTGCAGCTGAGGGATGTGCTTTTTGGAAAAAGCTTTTTTGGGGGTTTTCTTCAACAAAAAGGCAAATGTTTCTGCAGTGAAAAGGCAGCAGCAACACCAGAGCCAAGAAAGTCTCCAGACTGAATTTACTGATTGTGTTTATGACACTGGTTGAATAATGCAGGCATCAGCTTATTGCATTCACAGGAGTCGGAGGTTAGATCAGCAGAGTTCTTCGATGGCTGGTGTTGGCAGCGGGAAGAGGGAGGTGACAGCAACTACTGTTCCTAGTTCAGGCTGAGAAAATGTAATCTGCTGCATTTGCGCTCTCACTGTAGGAGAGCAGCCAGCTTTTTTGTCTGCTCTGGTCTTGTCCGTGGCACCAGCCAGCTCACCCTAAGGGCGTGAGGACTTGGTCTGATCCCTCTTCATACTCCTGCTTTTCACATACATGAGCAAGGATGCCTGAGGAGTACTAGATCAGACATGCTTTTTCGCTTTGCTCTTCATGATGAATGACTTTCTGAGGGCACCAGTGCTCCCCGCTGCACTTAGATTTGTCCTGTTTGGTACTTGGATTCTCCTGTTAGGGCCGAGCATTAGCCTGACGCTATCGAATCCTTGCAGCCTACCTGGAAAGGGCTCGAGGACAGAGCAGCCACCTTTCCCAGCTGCGTCAAGCTAGTATGACCCCATTCCAGTCAGAGAAGCTGAACCAGTTTGTGGCAGCCAGGATCTGGCCCAAACATGTGAAGTGCACACTGGCACTAGGAGATAGGCTCTGGACTGTAATGAGCCAGAACACAACAGCTGAATATCACAAAGGAGGTGAGCGCCAGGTGCTGAAATTCCTTGGCTCACACACAAGGATTTGGTGTGTCTGACTTCTTGTTCCAGTGGGAATTTTCTTTACCAATTAATTGGTGATTGTTTTATAGGAGACACCTCTGTCTTTCCACAGGCAGCATTCCTGAGTGCTAGCTTACTGTGTGAAATGGGCCAAACCAGATCATTTTAGTACTTCACATTGCCCAGCTATGATATTTTCCAAGCTCAGTTACTGGGTGCTTGTAAAGCACTTTGAGATTCTGGCTGAAGAAATGATGTGGCCTTGGTTTTGTTCATTTATGGCAAAGGAGACTTGCAGTTTCAGTCCTGCTTTACATGACTTCCCCAGTGCAAATACCGTTCTCTAATGATAACCCCTCATTGTTTTTAACAAAAGCCCCTTTATCTCCTTTTCTTCCCCTCTTCCCCTCCCCCAAGGAGGCAGTTCCCTCCCTCCCCTTCGGCTCCGAAGATCCCGTCATGGCAGATCCCAGTGAAGCCAAACTCACCCTCCAACCCTGTGGTTGCCAACCATAATAGCAGCAGTGACATCTCACCTGTCAGCAACGAGTCTACCACCTCGTCACCGGTCAAGGAGAACCACAGTCCTGAGGGCTCCAAGGTCAGCTGCCATCTGCTGAGCACCGAGGAGGGCACCAAGGCCGTGATTGATGTCAAGAGCCAAGTGCGGATGGAGGTGCAGGGTGAGGAGGAGAAAAGGGAAACCAAAAGGAATGAAGAGGAGGAAGAGGACGATGAGGATGATGATGTTAGCCATGTGGATGAGGAGGAATGTCTGGGTGTCCAGACTGAGGACCGGCGAGGAGGGGATGGTCAGATTAATGAGCAAGTGGAAAAGCTACGAAGACCTGAGGGGGCCAGCAATGAGAACGAGATTGACTAAGGCCCCCTGGCTTCCGCTGCTGCTGCTGTACATCTTCCCCGGCCTCCTGCACTGTCCCCGGTGCCTCTCCCATTTTGTGGAGAGGAGTGCCACCATCCCGTCCAGTGATTCTCCCATGTTGGACCTTGAGCAGGGTCAGGATTGCCCGGTGAACATAGTGGGCCCTGTTTCACCACAGGGCTTTGCAGTGTTGCAGTGGCTTCTTCTCCCCTCCCAGACCCACCTTCTCCCCGTGAGCTGGGGCCACTGCCTAGGCTGGAAGACCGATCGCCTTACCATGCACCACTGCTACAGAATAAGTCCTCTTACAAAAAAAACCACCGTTCTCCTGAAACAGTCAGCTTCTTTGCTGCATCCTACAGTCCTTCTATCCAATTTCAGAAACGAATCTGTCCTGAGTTCTTTGATTTCACAAGCCTTTAATCCCCACATAAGGCCCAAACAACTTCTGTTTCCCAAAATAACCCTCTATTTTATTTCTCAAACTACTTGATACTCTGTTGCCAAAAAAAAATAGGACATTTTAACCCTGAGTTCCTCACCAGATCTCAGTCTTGGCTCTTCCAAGCCTTAGCCAAGCCTCAAATTCCTCAAAGTACCTAGAACCTAAAACCACTACATTTCTGTGGAGTCCAAAGAACACTATTTCCACCCCACATGCTTACACACATCAAAGTGGCTTCTTGCTAGGGACCAAGTCCAGGTTTCATGGCCACAGTAAAATCTGTGAGAACAGGTGGCTTTGTTACTGATTGCTTCCCAGTAAAAGAAGTTTAGAAGAAGTTGACTCCACTCATCCCAGTTATTACCCTTTCTCCTCCAAAGACAAGGAGCTCACATCAGTTTTTGACATCTTACATTTTATTTATAGCTATCCTGAATGAAAGAATGAATGAGGTGATATCAGATGCTGAAATAAGCGGTTAATTCTGAATCTTTGCAATGGTGTGTAGCCTGTTTTTCTCCCTAAGCGAGAAGAAAACCTACCTTAAATGATCAGGCTGAAAGCTGTACCTACCCAGTGACAGGCACCTGCTACAGCAGAGCAGTCTTTGCAGAAGAAAGAACAGTTCCAACTCTGAGCTTAACCACTGGCCCTCCTTGTGCAGTCCAGCCTTCTTTTGCCCCATTGGAGCTATACACAAATTAAAACAGTGAATTTTGAAACCTCGCATTTGCAGCATTGTGTTCTCAGCTGGTAAAATGGTGGTGTCCAATTATATTATTCACTGCATCAGAGCCTCTTAGCAGAGCAGTTCTTGTAACAACTGAGTCTCACTGTCCTCACCAAGCAAGTGTGCTCGTCTGTGTGATCATGTATAGATTTCAAATATAAAATACGATTGTATATAATTGTAATAAATATGAGTTACCACTATTTAACATCAGGCTTTTACTGGATTACTGTGGCTCTTATTTTGGGGAGAAATATGGGTGGTAAAGGAAGGGAAAAGGGACTATTACAGAAATTCAGTCCTTATAAAATGTTTCCTGAATGACATTTATGGGTGATTTTCTGACTGCTCCAATACTCGGTTCTCTCAGCAGGAGGCAGTGTAGAGAATGTGTAAGTGCAATGTAAGTTCAACATAAATGGCTCCAACACGACTGTAATGCCAGCTCCTCTCCGACGTCGCAGAGGTTGAGATGGATCCATCGTCCAGCAGGTTCCACTTCCTGGTTGGTTTCCTCCCAGCAGGAGGCTCTGCAGGGTGCAGAATGCCGCATCCCGGGGCCTTTCCACCCCGGCGGCAGGAGGTGCTGAAGGCAGCCTGTGAGATATCCCACGGCCCCTGGGGCTTATCTGGCAGCCGGGAATGCTGTGCCCTGTCCCGTGACTGATGTCACCGTGCCCGGTCAGCACAGAAGCCATGGAAAGAAATGGCGTTCGGCGAGTAATTCGCAGCTACTGCAGCCCCAGCTTTGCTCAACAGGAGTATTTGGCTCCCTTCTTAAAAATGAGGGATTTACTTGATTCCTGAGTATTTGGGTGTCTGGTACACAGTGACATTTTCCTGCTCAGGGGGAGCGAAAGGGACCTTCATATTACTGTATTTAGACCTGCTGCTGAATGTGGTGATTTCTCATTCCTTAAATGGACGAATATCTTGGCCAGGAGTGAGTGTGTGTGTGTGTGTGTGTGTGTCTCTCTCTCTCTCTCCCTCTCCTCTCATCTCTCTCTCCACTGTTTAACGTTCACAAAGAACGTCACGTTTAGCTAAAACAGGGCAAATTTGAAAGTGTTTAAAAGGAAAGGCTTTTCTGAAGAGATGGCACTTTTCGTTTCTCCAAGCCAAGAATCCTTGTGAAAAGAAAACACGACTGAACGCAGGGATATGATGAAAAAGTATTGTCCTGCCTGTGTACATTTCATATACATAGAAGGTTTTGAAAATAGAAAGTGCCTGGACAACAGCAGTTGGTGAAATGTGGAAAATATGTTGCTGAGGTATGTGCCTTGCAGAGTGACTTACGAGGTTTACAGTACAAGCATCCCTGCGGGTTAATTTTTTTCCCCCTTTTCCTCCATGTTGCCAGTGTTCAATGCATTTACCTCAGGATTTCTGGTGCAGAGTAAAAGGCAGTTTTCTTCAACTACCCTTTTCTCTCCCTTAGTTTTTGCTTCTTACAACCTTTACCGTTTCAATAGGTCACAGTTTTTCCTTTCCCCAACTTGATAAATCCCAGAGAACTCCACTGTTGCTCAAAAAAAAAAAAAAATCTCAGTCTGGGCCTCTGGCTGCTGATGGGCTGTTTGTGAACTTTGTTGAAGAAATCCAACCCACCAGCAGATAATTTGGAAGAAGCCAGAACTTCTTACCAGCAGGTATTGTTGTGAATCACGGGTTTTATTCTTCTATCTTGTGTTCCTCATCCTTCCAGCGCAGTTGCAGGGCAAATATTTTGGTCCTTATGAACCATGTGGTCTGACAACTAATTTGTAATTATTATTTTTTTTTTTACTTTTTTTTCTAGAAACAAACTTCTTAGATCAGCTGCCCTGTGAAATGCTTAGCCCACTGGCCAGTAGGCACTGAGAATGGCATCTTAGTAGCTGAAAGATGACCATGGAGCGAACCTTTTTTATGTGGAACAGGAAAGCAGCAGCAGCAGTTTCCCACCGTCTGGCTTGTTCAAGTACTCTATTTTACTGTGTAATCTGCTCTGTTTTACTGTGTAATCAGCCTTTGTTTTGCCACAGGAAGACAACTAACAAGGCTGGGGCTGGTGAGTTGAGTGGCTTTGTAACGTGGTTTCCAAAGGTCCTTGATAGCCTGTGGAAAGCAGGTGAAGGGAGCTGCCTCTGAACAGTGTCATCTGAGCCCAGTTCAGTGAAACCCTGTGAGCGTTTGCTCTCCTAGAGGAAACATTATCAGGCTGGTGCTTTCCAGTAATCTGAGGATATAAAAGCTCCCTTTTCAATAGCTGCAGGAGAAATGGGGGAAACTCAAAAATGTGATGAAGTAGGAAAGGGTGAAGAGGTGTCTTCTGACCATCTATCCAACCTTCCTCACTCTCTGTGTGATGCTTGGGGAAAACAGAGGCTAGACAGCAAGTCCAGAGCAGGTTTTTGTGGCAAACCTGTTGTGTTAGAGTCAAGGACTCTGTGCTTGACTAGACCCTGTACACCCAGCAGGGTGTGGACCAGGAATGTGTTTCCCAAGGGCTTTGGCAACAGGAAGCTTTGGAAGGTCCCTTCTGTGTGATGATGCTCTATGTTAAGCACAAGTTGTATGTGTTGGTGACCCCACACGCTAAAAACTGATGTTAAGCTTGAGCTGAGAGTTTTCCAGCCCGGACTTGACCTCTCATACCATTGGGTGGTATGCAAGTAGGAAGCAAGCAAGGGGCTTGGCCTCCAGGGACTGAAAACATAAATGAAAGGATGCTGGGAGGTGAAACATAGGAAATTATTTACCTAGGGGCAGAGCAGAGAGCTGCTAGTTTTTTCCTTCATCATCTTATCCCCACACTGTGCTGCTTCTTCATGAGTCAGCCTCTTTAGGCACCTTTAGAGCTCTGTCTACCTCTTATGCTGGTGAAAGGCTCTTGCCACTATGTATGCTCTCAAAAAATGAAATAAAATAATGGAACTGTACCTAAGGTGAATTTCGGGGTACCAGGGAAGAGGGAAGGTGGCTGCTCCACTTGCTGTGCAGTACAAGCTCTGAACTGCGCACTTGTAGATTGAGGGGCTGGCATGATCTCTTCCAGCCCAGGGAAAAAAAAAAATAAAAATCTCATCCCCAAAAGGGAGCAAGTACTAACCTAATAAAGGCACCAGCTGGACGAAGGGAAAACCAACTCTTTGGAAAAAAAAAAACAACCAACCTCCTTTCATTAGAAAAATAATATATTTCATCCAAATAAGGTAAAAATATTTGAAATGGGGCAGAAGTGAGCACTAGGCAGCATCTGTCAGGCCCTTTCTGAAAAGGGGAAGATTATTAAACTCAATTACAATTTATTTTTGTAAAGTGTCTTTCAGACTAAAAATCTCCCTAAATGCTTTGCAAGGACTGCGCAGGGGTTACTTAGAATATGGAGCATCTTAGCAGAACACCCCTTTTTTCCCCACCAAGCCTTTCTTTTCTGCGTCTGCTGAAGGATTTAACCCTTCAGGACTTTTTTTTCTTCTATATTCACGCAAATAATGAGAGCTGTTTTATGATACTGGCTACAAGATGTGCCTGAAGAGGGGCATGGCGGTGGGGGTGGGGTTTAACATTGTGGGTTTTTTCTGATTTAGGTAAAATACTTGCTTTTCTTTATGATGGTGCCTCCAGAGAGAGAAGGTGATTGGCTGGATAGGGCTGATTCAGAGTCTAGAAGTACAACTGGCTTTTTTCTTCTTGTGTCTGTCACTTTGCCAGCCTGCTTGTCTGTCTCTCAGTCACTTTGTCTGCTTGGCATGTCTGTTTTGTACAGCATCCTTGGTTTTCCAGTCTTCCGTCATGCCTGTCTCCTGTTGCCTAATGCTCTTTCCTTTTTCTTTCTGACCCTTCAGGAACAAGTTGCTCCCAACTTTATCTCTCTGCTTCTGTAAGCTAGTGCTGAGGTGTATCTGTGTGGAGCTAGAGTAACACCTCTTTAATTTCTTTAACTGATTTAATTAAACCATAGCAAATTCTTGGGTGGACATTTTTCCGTCTCTTTGAACAGATTTGCTTTACTTAAACAGTTTCAGCTGATACGTGCGTGCAGAAAAGACTGTCTGCTAAATTGCTGCAGCTTTCCTATGGAGATGAACTATTCTTTTGCTTCCTGCCCTCTTACAGCATCAACAATAGATTACACCTCTGAATATTTGCCTGCTTACTTCTGTGGTTTTCTATCTGTGCGTTGCTTTACAGTAATATCAACGCTTCCACTGCAGCAGTCAGCAAGTTTTGAGTGTGAGATGGAGGTTGGGTTTCCCTCTTGCTTTGTGGTCTCTTCTGTCCCCCAGAATGAGCTAGGTGCCAACTGATGTT